TGCCATAGTCCAGACAAAACAGGATGAGGCCTCGAAAGAAGGCTGTGGCACTGGAGAAGGAGAGGGGAAAAAAATCTTTTTTCCTCAAGCAGCTTGTACAGATAAAGGCAGGAATGATGCACAAACTCCAGAAGGTTGGCTACTACACACTGTGGACCTTGAACCACATTCTTATTTCCAAACAGTTTCTGACTAATTCTAAACATCCCCAGGTCCAGGGCACCCACTCAAAGGGAGGAAACTGGCACCAAAGTTAATCTGTTTCAGCTGCCATGCTTTCCCTCACCCTTTCTCACCAGAAATAATGGGAGCCGGCACTGGAAAAAGGAGCATCTGGCTGCAGTAAAGACCCATCCCTTCCAGTGCTGGGGCTGTTGGCTCATCCTTGGAAATCACAACAATCAAGAATGGAGAATCGTTCTTTTCATCCCTTCTCACAGCGTTATCCCGGCGACCTCTCCCCTCACAATGGTGGGGTTTGTGTTGTGTCTTCCTCCACCGCTGCCCTCCCTCCTGCTGCACAAGGGCAGTGCTGTGCTTCAGGGGCCACTGAGGCTGTGAGCCTCACAGCCTCTGACAGTCTCTGAGGGTCAGGATGTGCCTCCAGAAGAAGCTGCAGGAAGAACGGACTGACAAAGACCAAGCATTAACTAGTAAGAACTGGGAAGAACCATTCTTTGCTCCATTACACTGGCAAAAAGACTTGAAAGACAGTTCTCAGTGATAGGAGGAGTCTGACAAAACAAACACTGTGTATGTTGCTTAAGGCTGTTTGTTGGTACAAAGCATTTGGGAAATAATTTAGCAGTACTTGAAAAGCCTTACAAATGTTCATTTCCCTTTTACCCAACATTTCTGGCAACTGACTTTTGGGAAATAATTTACCAAAAAGAAAAAGACATATGCATGAAAATATGCACTACAGCACTAGTGGGAAGGAAAAGGGGTAAAGTTTCTGTTCTTTAAGTAGCACCCCCATATCTTCCCTTTTAACTTAAAGCTTCATAATTTTGATCTCTATGATTCTTGATAGAACCAGGTATGATAGAAATCAGAATCTTTCACCCACATGCATTATCTAAAGAAGATGTGTTATAAAAATAATTTATTAGCCAGGTGTGGTGATATACACCTGTAATCCCAGCACTCAGGAGGCTGAGACAGGAGGATCACTGTGAGTTTAGACCAGCCTGGAATACATAATGAGACTTTGTCTCAAACCTCCACCACCAAATTTACTATATGATTAACCACATGTAAGAGCTCCATTAGGGGCCTTCTATTTGTTGCATAGGAAATTATTTAAAATGATGAACTCATTCACGTATTCAGTATTCTACTGGGCATTATACTGGGGACTGAGGATGTCAATAAGAAACAAACAATTCTGATAAGCATGATCAATATTATAATAAAGGAGAAAGCAGTGTGCTATGAGTACAAACAGCAAAAGGGTCTTATCCATGTTGAAGAGGTCAGAAAAAGCTAGTGGGAAGGAACTAAAGATTGTGGACTTCATGGTAAGGATAACAGGAGAGCTATGGCCAGATTTGTGTTCTAGAAAGTTCACTCTGGTACTGTGTGAAAAACTGGAGACCAGCAAGACTAGGGTCAGTTATCTCAACTTGGAGACTGTCATTACCCTTGAAACATGATGGTGGCTTACACTACAGTCAGGCAATGGAGAGTCAGAAGAGGAAATGCAGAAAAGGTATTTAACAGCTAGAATCAACTTCTCAGTGATTACCAGAATGTGGCGGGTCAGTCGAGCAAAAGATGTCCTGTAGGGTTTTAGCAACCTGGTATCTACTAAAGCAGTTTTCTGGAGCACAAGAAGATTTGGTACAGGGTACATGATATCAGTTTCAACTGCAGACACTTAGAACTGGAGGCTTTTGAGGCACCCTTGTGGAGGTGAACTACAAGCTAAGAATCTGTTCCTCAAAGTTCACTGTGGGTGGAAGACATAGCTGAGGCGACAGGAATGGGTCTGATCACCCCAGTACCAAGAACTTAGGCAACTTAGCACAATACTAAGTGCTGTGAGAGAAAAAGGGGAACAGAATTTTCCCTCACGCTCTCCCACAATCATCCTTCTGTCCCCAGCTGATGGAAACACGCTCCTCTATGGTCCACTGCTTACCTCTGCAACTGTTTGCTTTATGCTTGCTCACTCTGTATCATGCTTGTTGGCTGAGTTACAATCTGTTGCCTATAGGTTCTAAGTTTCTTTCAGGCAGAAACCTCATTTCACAGTTTCTGTTTGTTTGGTTTTCATTTTTTGTTTCTGCTCCTAGCAGTGTCTGAGCACAGCATGTGTCTCTACTGCCTGGAGAACTGACTCCTGTGATTAGGATACGCAGCATGGATTATGCATTTCCTCTAAAACTTTTCATTTTATAAACAGCATTAAATATTTGCTAGCACACTGCTGCTACAGAAACTCAGAGATCCAAGAGAATGACTTCTATCTTGTTTGTCAAGTCCCACCTATCGGTTCTAACTGCCCAGAAAAAGGCTGAGGATTCTGGTATTTCATTTGTGGTATCCATCAGAAAGAACGTGCCAGAACTGAGAAATGATGTCTACTGCAGTGGTGAGGGGAAAGTGGCAGCTGCCATGCCATGTATCTACAACCCCTAACACAGTCCAATGCCCTAATTTAAGAGATGAGGTGGATGTGGTGGTGCACGCCTGTAATACCAGCACTCTGGAGGCTGAGGTAGGAGGATTGTTGCGAGTTTGATGGCAGCTTGGGCCACAAAGTGAGTTCAAGACCAGCCTGAACTGTGTAGTGAGACCCTGTCTCAAGAAAAAAAAAAGGACCTCCCCCCCCAAAAAAAAAGAGAGAGAAATGAAGACACAGAGATCCAGAGAGGAAAGGGATTTCTCAGAAGCCACAGAGTTAACAGTGGCAAACCTGAGATTAGAAGCCAAGGATCTGGACTCCGGTCCCAGCCACCTTCCCAGAACAGCACCAAGAGCATGGAGTTGAGGCTGTCCCTGACTTGGCTAGCAACTCCATTAACAACATGCAGCCACACTGGGGTGACAATGACCACTAAGCAAGAATGCTGCAGAAGGCACGCAAACATGTAACAAGGGGTAGTCCAGCATGAACTTCTGGTTCTTTTATCCTTGAGAGTCAATGATGCTAGATTTCTAAGAACTCTATGCTGTGAAGTGCCTGAGCACAGAAAACAACTACCAACCTAAAGTGTGGGATTTCCAAGAATCTTACAGGACTTAGCAATGCCCTCACAGCCACTACACTGTCAGTAGTCAAATCACAAGATATAGAGACTATACTTTAAGATTTCACCAGAAACACAACGTAAAACCATGAGTAAGAAAAACTCCAGGACAATCTACTGCATGAACTTTCAATAAACTACTCCCTTTTTTAATTTTGTCCTGTCTCCCATTTTACAGTACTGAGGAATGAACTAGGGCTTTTACACTGAGCTGCTTTCCCAGCCCTTTTTGTGTGTTTTTTATTCTGAGACAGCATCTCTGTAAGTTGTCCAGGCTGGGCTCAAACTTGTGATCCTCTTGCCTCCATCGCCCAGAACATTTGTTTTTATATTTTCTGAGACAAGGTCTCACTGTGTAGTTCAGGCTGGCCTCAAGCCCACAGCGATCTTTCTGGGTCGGCCTCCTGAGTGCTGAGATTACAGGTACGCACCACCACCTCAGCAGTACTTTTTTTCGAGCACCATTATTCTATTACTTTTGGATAGGGTCTCGCTATGCTGACGCAGTCTGGCTTTAAACTCCTGGCTCCAGCATTCCTTCTGCCTCAGCCGCCCAGATATGTGGGGTTACACGTACCTATCACCACGCTCTGCTTAAAATGTTGTATTTTTGAAGCATCATTCAAGCATCATTCAAGAATTAAGAGGTATAAAATGTCCACTTGGTCCCACACAGTCCCCACTTCCACCCGTCACAATGTGACACGGCAGAGAGGGCCCTCCACAGAGCTAAGCCAATGTCAGCACCCAGCCCTCGCACCTCCAAAACTCCGGAATAACCCTCTTTTCTTCATGAGCGGTCTGCCTCGGGCTTTCTATTTTGACTGACAAAAACCTGCCTAACCCAGTAGAAAAAACTGGGCTTGGGGTATATGAGAACTCTAAACCATCTTTCTCATTTTTATGTATATCTAAAACTGAAAACAGTGTTTTAAAAAGGGTATTACAAGTTTAGCATGGACTTACTCATAATAACTAAAGGCTGGAAACAGCACAACCATCCATTCAAAGGAGAATGCATAAACAAAGCATTGTATATTCACACAACAGAATATGACTCAGCAGTAAAAAAGGGATGGCCTATAACGATATTCATCAACATGGATGGATCTCAGAAAGTATTATGCTGAATGAAAGCAGCTTTATGCAAAGGCGTATATACTACAAGACTGTTCATATTCTTAAAAATGCCAAATTAATCTATAGTTAAAATTCTTCCTTTTAGCACTGTAACGTAATTTTGTAACTACTTTCATTTCTTTATGCCCCTACTATACTATCATGAATTTCTTGGGCCTTGTTTTTCGCATTTAATTTTTTTCCTTTTGCCTTGCACAGTATTTAACATATACAGCAGGGACTCACATGGCACTCAAGAATATTGCATGTATTCAACAAGTACAAGGTGAACAAGCTGGCTGGTGCAGTCAGACCCTCTCAGAGACCACAGGGAGATATGGAAGTTTTCTTATAGAGAAATATGATTTTTACATTTCTAGAATATACAGTGACTACATACTTGGAAGATGGTAACTAGATGCAGAGATTTGTTCGGATTTTCTCTTCTACCTTGTATCCTGTGACACTGCTCCTTGAAACATTTTCTGTGTGAGGTTGGCTGGTATGTACTGTAGATTGGCTCATTCAATCTCTACTTCATTCTCCTCTAATTATAAATTCTGAAAAACTAAAAATCCCCTTCACCAGATCTGCTTTTTGCTAACTGCCAGTTACTTGCATTCATACCTGACTTGTAAGATGGAAGTGAGGCAAAGACCATTTTCCTGCTCCTTTTGGCTGTTTCTTGTTTCTTCTGGCAAGCAAGGGTGTAGACCATGAAGGGTTTCTGTAGCTGAGGTGTTCCCTAGTCTCCCAGGTACCATAGAGCAGCTGTGATGCAGTTTTTCAATCTGACTTTCCAACCCCTAAGTTACAGGGATGCATTGGGGCTGGGTGCTAAGCTAACCAGTCCAAGGAATATCCTTGGAGGTCATTCATAGAGTTCTAGAGCAGAACATACAGATTTAGTTCTTCCTACTGTTTGGTAAGTATTTAATTCCTTGTACTAAATTCCTTCCTGTTTAAAGTATCTGGAGCGGGGCAGAGCTGCCACCACCAAGTCCAGACCTCAGAATTGCACACCCCGACTCCCGCCCCAGGTGCACTCCTGGTTCCGTTCGGTTCCAAGTCCAAGATGGCCAGTCTCAAGGATCAGCTGATCATGAATCTCCTTAAGGAAGAACAGGTGCTCCAGAATAAGATTACAGTTGTCGGGTTGGTGCTGTTGGCATGGCTTGTGCCATCAGTATCTTAATGAAGGACTTGGCAGATGAACTTGCTCTTGTTGATGCCATGGAAGACAAATTGAAGGGAGAGATGATGGATCTCCAGCATGGCAGCCTTTTTCTTAGAACACCAAAAATTGTCTCTGGCAAAGACTATAACATAACTACAAACTCCAAGCTAGTTATTATCACAGCGGGGGCACGTTGGCAAGAGGGAGAGAGCTGTCTTAATCTGGTCCAGTGTAATGTGAACATCTTCAAGCTCATTATTCCTAATGTTGTAAAGTACAGCCCACATTGCAAGTTGCTTGTTGTTTCCAATCCAGTGGATATCTTGACCTACGTGGCTTGGAAGATCAGTGGCTTTCCCAAGAACTGTTATTGGAAGTGGTTGAAACCGGATTCAGCCTGGTTCCGCTACCTGATGGGGAAAGCTGGGAGTTCACGCCCTGAGCTGCCATGGCTGGATCCTCGGGGAGCCTGGAGACTCCAGCGTCCCTGTGTGGAGCGGAGTGAATGTTGCTTGTGTCGCCCTGAAGAATCTTCACCCCGAGTTAGGAACTGATGGGGATAAGGAGCATTGGAAAGAGGTTCACAAACAGGTGGTTGACAGTGCTTACGAAGTGATCAAACTGAAAGGCTACACATCCTGGGCCACTGGACTATCTGTGGCAGATTTGGCAGAAAGTATAATCAAGAATCCTAGGAGGGTGCATCCAATTTCTACCATGATTAAGGGACTCTATGGAATAAAGGATGATGTCTTCCTTAGTGTCCCTTGTGTCCTGGGACAAAATGGAATCTCTGATGTTGTGAAGGCGACTCTGACTCCTGAGGAAGAGGGGCATTTGAAGAAGAGCGTGGATACCCTGTGGTCGATCCAGAAGGAGCTGCAGTTTTAGTCTTCAGTGTCCCCACATCAATGTCTAGGCTGCAGGAGCATTTAGTTGGATGTTGTGCCAGTTGTCCTTTTTATCAGTGTGTGGTTGAAGCAGTACTATAAAGATGACCTGGGGAAAATATCAGCTTCCCAAAGTTAGAAATAGAAATGGTTCTCAGAGCCCCCCAGTCCTATCCTGATGCTGACGGTACTTGCACTTGTATAGTCCTGGTTAGTATAAAGTAGCCCACCACCTCTGAGATACTACGGCCAATGCCACACAGGCTCCAGTTACCCTTCAAACAGATGTGTTACTCTGCTATACAGCTTCATCAACCAAGCCTCATCTGAGCTTTTCCCCAGTTGGTCACAGCCTGGGATCCAGTGAACAAATCCAGTATTGCATGTCTTGTGCATAACTGTTTCAAAGGATTTTATTTTGTGCAGTATATATGTATCAGTAGTGTGCATTGCTGTATAACGTAAAAAGGAAAGATCTACCTGTGAACAGTGCAACCAAGTGTCATACCAACTACAATACCAAATAAACCTTGAACAGTGACCACTGTTAATGTATCGAGAAAAAAAAAATATCTGGAGTGGTTTCTATTGTTGCACTGATATCTGGGTATAAAAACAAACAAGTACGTTTGAGTGATAGGTAGATTTCCCCAGGGATGGGAAAGAAAAAGAAACACAAGGTTTTGCATTTTAGAGATTCTAATCCCCAGTACCTATTGAATCCTAGTTTGTGCTGAGCACTGGGCTCAGGGTTTGGCCTCAAGAGAAAGTGGTTTGCATTGAGAGCCATGTTACTATGGCAAGGAAGAGCCCATAGTGAAGGATGATGGAGAGAAGAAAGGAAAGCTCAGAATAAGGATCCAAGTGAAGGGGTATCCTCAGAGGGAAGAGCACAGGCTCACCCTTAGACCTCAAACCAAATAATAAATAGTATGCTTAGCATTTAATGCACAGAACATGCATTTATATGACCTCATTTAACACACTCTTTCCCCTCCTTCTTTTCTGGCTCAAACTTAAGTACTTCCCATAAGGAAATATATGTCATATTACATGTATTTATTCTTAAACTTTGGAATACTTTGTGAAGTGGGAAGTGTTACTAGCCCCACAACTTGCCAGAGCTCTCATAGTTATTAAACAGCAGGGCCAGTACTCAAACATATCTTTTTTTTTTTTTTAGGGGGGGGGTCTTTTCTTCCAGTACCAGGAATCGAACTCATGACCTTGTGCTTGCCAGGCAGGCACTCTGCCGCTGAGCTAAATCCCCAGCCCCTCAAACATATCTTTTCATCCAAATCTTCCATTCTTTAGTAATAACAAAGTCAGTATTTTGGTTCCTCAAAGATATAACATGTTTTAAAAACTATCATTGCATGGCTGGGTGTGGTGATGCACCCCTATAATCCCAGCACTCTGGAGGCTGAAGCAGGCAGACTGCAAGTTTGAGCCCAGCCTGGGCAACTTAGCAAGACCATGTATCAAAATAAAGGGTTGGAGATTTAGCTCAGTACAAAGGCTGTGGGTTCAACCTCCAGTACTTCTGTAATGATAACAACAACATGACAAACCATCACTGTAGAGCATGAAGAGTTGCCATTCTTATAATGAAAAACTTTTGCCAAGCGTGATGTCTTCAAGGTAAAAGGAACAGTGTCCATGAGGCTCTGGACCTAACAGGGATTGTGGAGGTCCTAGGCTGGTTCAGTCAGACCAGACTCACAATGGACAAAGGGGTGAGGGCAGAGGCAGAGAAGGAAAATCAGTGGCTGCTACCACAGCATCGCTAATGCAGCTCTGTATCTGCACACCATTGTGATAGTTCAGAGGGCACCATCCGGACCTAATAAATGAAAGTGTCCATTGGGAAGAGAAAAAACACACACATGCCCCCTTTACACACAAAAGGACATTTGTGTTGGGCAGCCTAAGAGGCTGATATACATGGAAGGCTCACCCCTCCTCCTCCCTTTAGCCCTAGAAAAGACAAGAAAGGCAGCTTTCTGGTATTCCACAAAGGGGGAGGTCTGTGGCAGGGAAGGGCACTGTCACTCTCTGAAATTGCTGACTTGATTCATCCCCAAACTGACACAATGTGGAGAGGAAGACTTCAGGAAATGGGCAGAGTATGTCCAAGAACAGATTTCCTGCAAGCAGCTAACAGGAAACTAACATGAAAAGCAGGACTAAAAATATACAGGCTGTTAGAAACATGTGGTGAGGGCCCTTGGATTTTTAAGAAGTGGCTCAGAAAGTCACCAGGCTTGGGACTCTCCCTGTATACCAACCTAGTGAGGTCCACTTAACACTGGCTTTATTTGCCCGGAAAAAGCTTACTGGGGTACCTGGTGTGGTTTACACTTCAGTTCAGTACTTCACAGTTCAGAGAGAAAGTTACAGCCCCAGTGCCTGCACAGTCTGACTACAGTGATGAGAGAAATGGATCAGTAGTACAAATGTCCTATGTTTAACTGAATTTTGATTACCAAGGAATAAATCTTACAATTTAAGAGTTCAGGAAAATTTAAATGACTGGAAAGTCTACACAGAAGTAGAGATAGCAGAAAATTTATCTATACTTTAAGACATATGTAACTAATGACAAATCATAGCTCTGGCATAAACAGTAGGAAAACTAAACTGCAACATTAAGAGTCTAAAAAGTAACTATCAGGGGCCTTGGGTGTGGTTCAGTGTTAGAATACTTGCCTAGAGTGTGTGGGTTTGATCCTGGGGGTGAGGGAAGCAGCTATTAGAGTGTTTGTTAATTCTGAGAAAGAACCATTCTGTACATGTTTAGAGGAAGCAGCAGCCTTGGAGTTCCCTCAGGTCTAAGTAGAAATCTGAAGATGAAGGTTGTTTTCAGACACTTCCTTTCTTATCCTCCTTTATACTTACAAAAGTCTACTTTTGCCAAACACATATTGAGCCCCAACATCAGTACATTCCCCAGGGCACTGAGTACAGTTTAATAACAAGACAAGTCCTGGAAATCACAAAGGGAGAGGGTGATACTGAGCTGCATTTCCGAGCTATCACCCTGCCACCCTATTAGTACGCTCCAGATCTAGCGATTTACAGTCCACACACACAGAAACTTTAGTCCCAGATGCAAAGGAAAATCTTATCACTAAGCATCCACACATAATGATAAGTCCTTCTTTCAGGATGAAAATGAGCAATTTGAGGCCAAAATCTTTTAGTGCCATATTTTTATACCCAATGAGAGCCAGATGTGAAGGCACACTGAAAAACAAAATGTAGGTGGTCCTGTTGATTAGTCTAGGGAGACTGGGTAGGAAGAACAGTAAGTTTTTCACCATGGGTGATCTTTCTTTTGTTTTAAAATCCCATGGATATTTTTTGTAGTTGCGGCTCTTATCTTTGTGGATTTCTTGGCAGCATCTGAGGCATCTGAGCACTCCTTCTTTCCTCAATGCTTCTCCTAAATCCTTTGGATTATGACACCACAATTTCCTGCATCGTTATGCTCCTTCTCAGTCTTCACAGGGTCCTTTTAAGATCTACAATCCCTGGAATTTTCGCTCAGCTTCCTTCTGTCTTATTCTATACACTCTCAGTGATTTAGTTTCTTTCACTGTGTGGAGTACTCCTAGACTTACATCTTCAAATCATATTTTAGAACCTATTGGGATGTCATTA